ATGTCTCTACTTTGTCAAAAGAGAATAACAATGTTCAAAGTGATGTAAAACCCTTATACGCCGCGAATGGCACAAAAATCACTACCTATGGTTAGAGGCTTCTCACCGTCAGTTTAGATCTCAGAAGAAATTTCAGTTGGCCATTTATCATTGCAGACGTAGATAAAGCAATCATAGGAGCAGATTTCCTACATTATGGTTTAACAGTTGATTTGAAAAACAGAAAACTTATAGATACAGAAACTTCTCTAGAAACTTTGTGCCAAATCGACCGTTCAAGTATTCCTAATGTCAAAACTATTTATAATTGTGAGCCATACCACAATATTCTAGCAAAATTTCCAAACCTCACTAGATTTTCTGTGAATCCATTGACCAATTCTTCTTCAGTGTATCATCAAATTCTGACAAATGGACCTCCTGTTAATTTCAAAGTAAGAAAATCAAATCCTGAAAAGCTGACAGCAGCCAAAAAAGAATTCTCCTACATGAGGCAACAGGGTATTGTTAGGCCGTCAAAAAGTTCTTGGGCAAGCCCACTCCATATGGCTAGGAAAAGTTATGGTGATTGGAGACCTTGCGGTGACTATAGACTATTAAATGCAAAGACTGTTTCAGATGCCATCCGATTCCTAATATTAAAGATTTCACCTACTATCTAGCCGATAAAAGAGTGTTTTCTAAGATTGACTTAGTCAGAGCATTTCATCAAATTCCTGTGGCTCCAGAAGATATAGAGAAAACCGCGGTTATAACTCCCTTTGGACTTTTTGAATGTATCAAAATGCCTTTTGGATTAAGGAATGCAGCTCAAACATGTCAACGTTTTGTACATCAAATAACAGAAGACCTTGATTTTTGTTTTCCGTACATTGATGATTTCTTAATATGCTCTAAAAATGAAGAAGAGCACAAGAATCACTTAAAAGCATTATTTAGCCGCTTAGAAGGATATGGAGTCGTAATCAATCCTGAAAAATGTGAATTTGGTAAAGATACAATTGAATTTCTTGGATTTGTCATCTCTGCAGAAGGCATATTAAACCATCGACAAAGAAAATTGAATCAATTTTGAAGTATGATAAACCAAAAGATCTGGCTTCTTTAAGACGGTTTCTAGGTATGGTAAACTTTTGTAGAATGGTAATACCAAAGACTGCAGAGATTCAGGCACCATTAAATGATTTCCAAAAGGGAAACCCAAAGAAACACCAGATGTTGAAACGAAACATGTGAAACACAAAGGATACAGAGAAGCACCAAAAAAATTGTTCATTTCAAGTGACCATCTTCAATGGAGGGGGGGTACTGTGGTGACCATTCTGTCTCCTCCTGTATATGTGTTCCTATCGTTTTAATTTGCATATTTATAATGAACAATTTGTTATAAATTTGCATGAAACATATTTTTTATACAATTTATACATATTTATTATACAAAAAAACATGCACCATTTTATGAGATTTTTTTTCAGATGAAAATACAATTTAGTCATCTTATAATGGAGAAAAGAAATGGCATAAGGTATTTTCGTCATACCTTCAATTAATATAAACTTTCACGGCCGGAGGTAACTGTGTCAAAGATATTTTACGGGTTTCTTGGCCGTGGTCTGCAGAATTTTATACTTGAAGTTTCGTCTACTACTGAGGTAGACATTATCAAAAACGATGTGGCAATCGCAGTGCTCGAATTGGTGCATGAGTTGTTCCTGTGTCTCATGCGAATTATTTAATCTATATACTTAGTTACTTACTTTTATTATCACTTATCGGTATATTTCACTCTTGTCTTTCTTTAATATTCCTTCGTCTATAGTCTACGCTCTTCTTAAATATACACTTAAGATAAGGAAAATAAATTCTCCATGCAAGGTTGGGTTTAAAAGCAGCTCTTTTAGCTGAACTACCCCTGTTCATCATTTATATGAATCATCTATTATTCTTTAACTGAATGGTTTTGCAAAAATAATGCATAAAGACATATTCTTATTAAATTGATAGATGTAGCTATAACTATGTGGTAGGAGATCATCATGAAAAATGAGAAATGAAACTTTTTAGTGATAAAACTACATGAAAGTTTCATTTCCCATTTTTCATATCATTATTATTATTACTATAAAAAAACCTTTGGTAAATAAATATTTCATATCGTTTAAATTATTTGTTTGTGTAAATTGGCTCAAATCGTAAATTACTTTAGGTGAAATCACATATCGAATAACACATTGTATTATTTTCGGTGAAGGCGAACTCAACAGTTGCGAAATGGTACTTATTGACTATACTATACATGACGTCTGCTGGATCGATATATGCGAAGGCATGAAAGAGCTTCTGGTGAAAAATTCAAATTTCCCGTTTTTGACATTAGGCTTGTGCCGTGTGTCTGTCCATCCGTCTGCCGTGTCATAATGTTATTATTAGTTTTCTCTTAAATGAAATGAGATATTGATTCTAAATTTTATACAGTTATGAAGCCCTGCGAGTCAATTAGTTTTCATTTGGTTTTGAAGAAAATTGAATGATTGAAAAACTATTTTGTCGAAAATTTTACCATAATTTTTCTTTCAAAACTTTAGAAGATGTTTATAAGAACTTTTATGTTTCTCTCAGAAAAGTTTACAATAAAGTTACAATGTTTTTGTAAATTCAATAATAGTGCAAGAAATGTTAACGGAAGAGTCTAATTTTTGATCTGCAACTCCCAAACTATAACTATATAACAATTTGAAATTATAGTTTTGCAAACAACATTCCGTATAATGTTATGAAGGTTAGAGAAGAATAAATCACCATGCTATTGAAATTTGCGCACATAACATATATTGGGAAATTGAGCATAAGGTTAGTTCTTGCTCTGAGAGGTCTAAAAATGGATTGAGATCGTGAAGTGAAATACAACAGCTTCATGGCTTTAATATTATGAAAGTTTCTGCAATTTCTAACAATGAAACCATAAGCTCTGAGAGATTCTGAAACTTTGTGTGAAATATGTCTGCCAAATGTTAATTTATGATTGAATATTACCCCTATAGGTCTTTGATCTCATTACATCTCAGTAGATCTGAATTCTGTATTACATACGGGAATGTATAAACCTCTTTTTTTCGACTATAACTCACTACTTTACATTTCCCCACATTGAGTTTCAATTTATTATTGCTACACCAAGCAACAAGAAATTCTAATTGAGATTGAAGATTTGTGCAATCACCTACTTCCTTAATTATACAAAATAATTTCAAGTCATCCGCGAAGCATAACCGCTCACAAGCTTAACTTTCACATAAGTCATTAATAAACAATAAAAACAAAAGAAGACCTAGGTTGGAGCCTAGAGGCACACCAGAAGAAGCTAGATGTGTTCAAGATTTATAACCGTTATAGGAGACGAATTGTTTTCTACATGTCAGACAGGATTGCATCAGCTGACAGAAAGTATTCGAAAAACCAAAACACATCAGTTTATTGAGCAAGATACCATGATCAATTTTATCAAATGCTTTATAGAAATCCATGTATATACCATCGAATTGGCCATTATTATCTAATACCTCGGAAATAAATTGAGTAATAATGACTAGATTTGTAACAGTAGAACGCTTAGTAACAAAACCATGTTGATTTCGAGATAGTTGCTGTTGAACAGAACAGAAGCATATATGCGATTATATAAAATAATCTCAAAAAGTTTAGAACACATACATAAAAAGATATGGGTCTGTAATTCTCTATATATGATTTTTCACCACTTTTGTATACAGGATATACTTTAGCTAATTTCCAAATATCTGGGAATGTTCCAGATATCAGACATGAATTGGAAATTCTCGTTAAAGGTTTTGCCAATGCTCCTCCACAATCCTTTAACAAAAATGATGGGATCATATCTGGGTCTGATGTCAGTTTGTCCTTTAGTTTTATCTCAAACTTATGATGAAAGTTTGATGTGGCTGATACACCCTGTATTTTGAATCATTGGAACACATGAAGAGAAAGGTAGAGGATTTTGTGTTAGATGTTAACAATATGTAATAATAATAATAGTAACGTTTATTTGACGAGTAACGGGTCAGCCAAACGTAGGCAATATACATATGAAATCTAACATAAGGGTACGTTTATAAATATATCATAATCGGATATTGCACAAATAGATGTGTTGTTGAAATAACAACTTGAAACTTACAGGGTAGAAGAATTTAGTGACAAAAATATCAAAAACAGGCATATTATAGTACAACAGATGAAAATAATAATGACAAATGGAAGTGAAAGTATCAACAAAAAAAAAATAAACATCAAAAGATATTTACTTACATTGTATATACATTGATCGATTATTACAGTTATAATAATCATCTTGTTAAAATTGAATACAGCTTCTGACGTGGGTGATTTGCTCCACTCACTCAATCGACCGCTGTGTGAACCGGTGGTTCGAACCGCAAGGTCGGACGATCGATCACACGTTAAAAGGTAAGACCTCGTTAATCCTCGCACAATTTTTTTTTTCGACTTTTGAAACAGCTGGTTTACGGAAAAACAGATTTTAACAGATGTATATTTTCTTTTGCTTGTTTATTAGTAATATACTTTTATTTGACATTATGGATGTTCATTAAGTATCGGCCAATTCCATCCCATACTATACATGTTACTAAAACTCATTCAAGAATGAACGCGACATATATTCAATTTTGAGGACCAGAAACGTCAAGTGTTGTTCAATTAATTTGGAGCGTTACAGTTCTGGTGAATGGAAAAAGTGTTGTTGTTGTTTATTGAAAATCATTTCAGCTCCAAAATTCAAAATTCATCAAGTTCATTGGAAATCATTAGACATATTACACTAATTAAACAACACAATTTTCACTAAACAGTTTTACAAAAACGCAACATGTCTAGACATGCCTGAAGAAGCTATTTGTAGTATAGTGAAAGACGTGTTGCATCGGCCAATTCTATTATATAAACAAAAATTATTTCACAACTACAAATTAAAGAATTTTATGTTATTTAAATAACAATAAATAATCCACATAAAAGACTTTTGAACACTAGATATCCAGTAGCTATATACATTACTTTATAGACAATTTCATTATCTTCAATATAATTTGTAGGAAAAGTTTAGATGTCACTAAAAAATACATGTTTCAGATGTGAACAGCAAAATTTTTATACAACAGTTAACTCAAATCATACAACACCACTTTTTTTAGAACCCTACATAAAATGGTATGATTAGTACTATAATCAGAGTCTATTCTACAGTTTCAAAAATTGACTTTCTATGCACTAGCGGTAGGTGTTTGTTTCTTATTAAAAAGTTTTCATTTCCATGTATACTGTATAACTTCTCCCCCTCTCTTCCCAATAATTTTCTTAATGCCATATTTCTTTCTAGTATCTTACTATAAAATTCTCTGCCGCCTTTAGCAAAAACTTCGTTTTTATCTCGCAATTCCTTATCAATTGTCTCCTCGATATATAGTTGTAACATATCTTTGGACATTGCGTAAAACCCAAACACAAACAAACCAACCAGCATATAGAGCACAACTCTCAATTGCCGGGGTTTGGAATAAAAATCAAATTTTTGATTGATATGTTGACTCAGGCCGTAAGCTACCATGCAAGAAGCTGCTCCACAAAGCATGTCAGACATTGGTTTCACTGAGTTCCGGAGTTTAATTTCTCTCGCCATTGCATATAATTGGGCATTTTCGGAAAAAATAAGAGATTTCAGAAACTTCTGGGCCTCCTCTGTTCCCCAAGGAACTGATTCTTGACGTATCTGGAAAATATTAAATGAGATGTTTACTAAACAGCGTTCAGCACAGATTTAAAAACAAGATATAAATTATTGGCATTGAACTTTTACAAATCAGTTTCAACTTTTTCAGGTTATTCACCAGGAGTCGTCAGGACATACATTTCCATAAATTAAAGGCTTTTTTATATCACTACATAATAATTTCAATAACAATATTTGGTGTACTTTATTCAAAATTTATATATTTTTAACTGTGCAACGAACTTTGTCTACTATTTTGTGACAGTTGGATTCAGGTCATCACATTACTGACAAATAAACCAAATAATAGGGTCTCTATAACTGGGTTATCTTGGGGAACCCTAGTTTGTTTTTATTTATTCAATCATTTTATTGACATTATGCAATGAAAGAATATAGAACATTACATTAACTTATGTTACAATAAAATACATATAGCAATAATACTAGTACCTATACTCTGCAGTTGAGAATAAGGCTAAATTATTTCAACATTAAATGCATACTCACTTGAGACTATTTTTGAATTTGCTCACAGATACCCCATTTATGAAACAAAATATCCATAATTTGTATTACGGAACTTCATGTGAAACAAATTGCTAGACCTTGAAATTCTGTTTGGATCATAGAAATGCCTTTTAAACAGCAATCTTATGATTGTCGTAAAATGGAAACCATATCACTGAACCCCAACGTATTATTGAGATTACTAGAGCCATGTAAACTATCCTTAAGATTTAACGAGATAGATGTTTGCCATGTTGAATATTGAATCCAAGGCATTTTTTGCCTTTATCACAATATGGTTTGAATGGTCTTTAAATTACAGTTGCTTATCAAAAAAACACCCAGATGCTTCAAAAAAGACACATATACTGAACCCTGGCCATTGATTAAGTAAGAAGTATCAAATGTTTCATTTCTTTCATGAAAATTTGAATACAATCATTTTTCAATATTCAGTTGCAATTTCTTTTCAGAACACCATGTAACTAATCTATCGAGGTCAAATTGCATTAATGCGAGATCATAACGTGACCTAGCTTCCCGGAAGAAACCTGAATTACATCTTACATAACACCTCCAACTTCAACTTTTGGGTTCAATTACTTAGGAAACTACTGAACCATGATACAGCTAAGTTGAATAAACCACATAGCGGCAATGTTTTCAATGAGATATTGTGATCTCCCAATCAAAAGCCTTGGAAAAATCAGTATATACAGCATGTTAGTGGTAAAAAACATAGAAAGTTAGAGAATTGAAACAAACATTCTGTGTTTTATCATTGTTAGTGATGAAAACCATGAAAAGTTTCAATTCTTTTTTCTTCATTATAAATTATTTTATATCTCATACATATTGTGTAATATCTGCAATATATACACAATTGTCATTCACTCAAGACATTTTATTGATAAAATTTTGAAAATTAGGGATTTGCATACATCTTAAAGTATAAACTTTAAATGTTTACCTTTATTCTTGTTTTATCAATTTTTTCAGGATCATCATATGTAAAACTGAAGGGTAATCCCACTATTACTCCATATTTACTATAGGAACTTCCCAAGCTCATAACATCAAAACCATAGGTAAAAAATGGTTGATAGAGATCATGATATTCAGGTTCAATCTGAAAATCAAAATAAGATTGAGTACTTCCATGTTGCTTTGCCTAAAACATAACATCTCTTCACCTCAGTCAGTTCTAGAGCCCTTTTGAATCTTTTCTCTAAATGCGGGGCGAGTGGTTCAGGCAAGCCATTTCTACAACCAAATTTTGATCAACTTTGAAGACAACCATAGAAATATTGATGACATACTTGTATAATCTAACAAAATCTTTATATTTGTCCAACAGTACAGTTTGTGGTAAAAAATGCCCGGCCATTGTAGCTACTACTGCTGTCCCAGCAGCATAGAAACTGAATGTTTTCCCCTGGTTGGTGAGAAACCAAGAAGACAATCTATGGAAAGACATGCTGAGTCTGAATTAATATTTATTCATCGAGAAGAAAAAAAATTAAAAACATTCAAATTTTCAACTACTCCTTTACGCTCCCTTAACAGGTAAATACAAGTATAACTGTGTTAGGTTAAAGATTCCATGGTTAAAGATGAACTCTTCTTCCTCTCTTCTGTGAAAATCTGAACCTGAGGAAGTAACGAATAACGATCTATCAGATACCGACAAGGGACATTCCATGGTGGGTTTAAAAATTCGGCATATTCTATTTGTATTATTTGCTTGTAACTCCAAACATTTATCACAGCATAATTGGAGTAATCGCAAAATAACCATTGAACGTTCATAATTGTACAGCAAGTTTTCATGTAAATAATTTATCTGCTGCAAGTTGTCATTTTCTTCCAAAAATAAACAGTCAACTCAATAGTTATTTTGTTAAAGATCATGATACATAACTGAAGTTATTTTTTGAGGTTGAAAATAATAATTTTCTGGAGAGAGATCGGCGTTGATAACTATGTACAGCTTGTCAAATGTAGGAAGAGCTTGTTTTTTGTCTTAATCTGGAAATAATGATTATATCAGTTATTTACATTTTTCTTGTATTTATACATCCCTTCAACTGTTTGAGAATGTGTACATATAAATAATATTTTTAACTAAATGTGAAAGATATATATTCGTAGCAGTCTGTAATAGAAGTATTTAATATACGAATGTAGGCTTTCACAACTGGCGTCAATGTTTTGGTTGGTTTCCGGGTTTTGACATGGTCTTCTTTGATTACAATCTCCAAACGTTTCAACTGCAACTGCGGCAGTCATCTTCAGTTTCAGTTGATACGTCAAGAAGAGTACTTCGACCACGCCATTTCAAGTAAAGGGCGGTGCTTCGCATATGTCTATTTTACTCATTTGTTATTGCAGCTGCAAGGCAATCTCATAAAAAGAAAGAGAAGACGAAATTACATTTGAGTTTTGAGGTTAAGAATTTATATTTTGAATTTGGTATATAAATCATATTTTTAACTAACTGTGAAAGATATATATTCGTAGCAGTCTGTAATAGAAGTATTTAATATAGGAATGTAGGCTTTCACGACTGGCGTCAATGTTTTGGTTGGTTTCCGGGTTTTGCCATGGTCTTCTTTGATTACAATCTCCAAACGTTTTAACTGCAACTGCGGCAGTCATCTTCAGATTCAGTTGATAAGTCAAGAAGAGTACTTCAACCACGCCATTTCAAGTAAAGGGCGGTGCTTCGCATATGTCTATTTTACTCATTTGTGATTGGCTACAGCTGCAGGGACACCTCATAAAAAGAAAGAGAGCCCCCAATTGCGCCTGAACAGGAAGCATCGGCCAATAAAGAAGAGAGAGAAAAGAAAGAGAAGACGAAATTACATTTGAGTTTTGAGGTTAAGAATTTATATTTTGAATTTGAAATTTCAAAATGGTATTCAAATGCCAAGAAGATTCTTTTCTGAAGGAGGTGAAAACATTAAAAGAAAGTTTCGTCTCTTTATATATTCTTAATTATTTTTAGTTTACCTCGAAAGTTGTCGTGTGTGCAAAGGTGAAATCAACAGACAATAAATCAGAAACTCCCGACTGTTACGAGGTTATCTTAGAAGATACAATATTATTTCCTGAAGGAGGAGGTCAGGTATGGGTTGACTGTTGACTGCTTTCTAATATAAATTCAGGATAACATGGTACCACTTGCGCTCAACTCATAGATCCAGGCAATCTAAGTTCATGGACATTTCAGTACTGTACTGTATGGAACTAGGATTACATACAATTTTGCAAGTAGTGTTCTGACTCCAGAGCACGCTGCGACAAAAATAGTTGTACACTTTTTGAGTCATTAAGATACCTAGGCGAGTACATGCGTTTTGTTTTTCAACTTCAATTCTGATTCGATATTTCTAGTTTCCAAAGGTTAAATTTTGAATTATTTTATAGAAAGTGGAATATAAATGTATTTCAATTAATGTTATATGGTTTCTGGGAAAAACCAAGAATTTCATTACTGACAAACAAAATATTGATGAAGAAGTCTCCTCATGTATTTATTACTTGTTAATGAATTATGTTGATATTTGATTTGTTTTAATAGTCATTTTTCAATTAACTTATTCAAATGCACAATAAAAAAGCCTTGAAATGTATGTTGTATGAATGTTGCTACTGAAACTTAATGAGCAAACTATTTAAAACTTCTTAAGACTCATGACTGGATGCATGAATCTACCCTAATCATACATTACCCTATTTAAGGACAGGTGTTTTAGAGTCAACACAAACAGTAATGTCGAATAGTTTAGCGTAAGTAATGTAATGTTGAAACCTACCAAATTCATTATCAATAATTCCAGCCTTGTGACTATGGATTCCTCAATAATATACCTGTTAGACAAGTCATCAGAAGAGAAGACAAAGCAATTCACTTCATAGATAAACCTTTAGATATTGGAGCAACAGTAAAGCAAACCATAAATTGGGACAGAAGATTTGATCATATGCAACAACATTCAGGACAGCATTTACTCTCTGCAGTTCTTGAGAAAGATTTAAAAATTACAACTGTTTCTTGGTGGTTGGGTGAAGAAGTTTCTTATGTTGAATTAGGTATAATAGTATTATGATTTTGGTAAATATGTCTTTCAACAGCTGGCATTATACTGCAACATGTGTTTCGCTATACAAAAGCTTTTACAAAATTAGTTCTTTAAATAATATATTAATTTGAATCATAATGACCTATCTAATTAATGACTGACGATTTTACCAGAATTCAGCTATAAACTAATTTGAAATTTAAACATCATGAAATAAATGTTACCAACTCTTCAAATGAACATTTAATGAAGTAATTACCAAATTTCACATTAGAAAACATATTCAACATAAGGGAAGAATTCATTTCTGACTGATCATTCAGTAAATTTTCAGAACTCCTTAATCTATTGATTTTTTTAGGCATTTCAAAAGATTTTTAAACTTTTTCCAAATGTAATACATCATAATCTTGGTTGAACTCGTGCCCCTCTGCCAATAGATGGTTTGATAATGTGGAGTTGGTCTTCACGTTCAAGAAACAACTTTCATGTTCCTTTAGTCTTGGGAAAAGGTTATTCCCATTTGGCCAATGCAAAATTTTGGGAGAACCACAAGTCAAATTATATACTTCTGATATATACAACACTGAAGTTTTGTATTTATTATTTTAAATAAGTTGTCTTGTGGTTTTTGTCCGAAACTTTATATTGGCTAAACGGATAGAACTTTACCCAAAGAATGAAAGAACATAGAAGTATTTGCAAACTATCTTTTGACAGAGAGGCATGAGTTCAACCACGACTATGATGTATTAGATATTTTGAAAGAAGAAGTTTTGAAACTCAATCTTTAGAATGCTTAGAAAATCAATAGATTCAGGAATTCTGAAAATTCACTGAATGACTAAATGAAATTGAATTCTTTCCCTATGTTGAATCTGTTTCCTAAAGTGGAAATTGGTTTATTACATGTTCATATAATAAATTGATAATTTTGTTTTATACAGTCTGAATTTTTAATTATTTTCTTTCTGAACTCTGGTAAAACTATTAGTCATTAAGTGGGTAGCTTCTTTTATATGAGTAATGCTTAAATTTTCAATGAGTTTCTAACGGAATTGTAGGTCATATGATTCAAATTGATATATTATACAAAGCACTAATTAGGTAGAAATAAGTTAGTATAAATACACCTAAGGAAGCTAGTGTATAGCGAAACACGTGTTGCGGTTTTGAAATTTTTTTGATGAAAATCTCACAATAAAGTGATACTTGAACACAGCACTAGTTTTTGAGAAATTTCAATTATATATACATATTTTTGACTATTGATCACGAATCAAGTCAAATTTTTTCCGCTATGGTCTACTTTTGGAGACAGTGTTACTAGAACGTTGAAAATTGTTTTTATATTTGACAAAGAAGACAAAAAGATCATAATTTCTTGAAAGCTTCTTTTCTTATTCATTGATGAGTAAATTATACTTTGTCAGTTCGACTTTCTTTTAAATGAAACACTGCAAAAACTACAAAGTTCCTTGTGAAAGTGAACAATTGAGATGTAGTTTCCCGGAAAACATACAATTTTGATGAAATTGAAGTTCATATGAAGAAACCAAGACGAAAGTAGCAAGTGAATAAAAGTGTCCTGCATGCGATTGTGAAAAAAGGTGCTGTTTTACAAGTTTCTATTATCAAAAGTGTGTTTCAGAAATAGTCGATTTCTTGACTTCCGGGTGACATTATCTTGAAAAACAGACCGAAATGATGAGTTTTGATTTAAGATTCGTGATTAGCTGGCAAAATGAAAATTTTTCAAAAAGTAGCACGAGCTGTTGAAACGAATATTTACTAAGATTTTTGTATGCATTTTATTTTAAAGATATGAGGTTTAGGGATTCACATTCGATTGTAGATATTCAACAATTATCAGGTAATGATATTAAAAGAACAGAAGACGTATGTAATGAATATATAAGGGAAGGAAGAAATGTTGCTGTTTCTATTTATTCAAAGGATACCCCTGAGGAAGAACTAGCAAAGGTGGGTAGATACATATGTGAATGAGAAATATAAAAGACTTAGTGATAATTCGAAATCAATGATTTACCTTTACCGTATGGCTTTCTCAAATCTTGTGTCACTGTTACCAATTTCCAGATCCAAATTGGTAACGACCTGTCGGTCCTTCAAAACAGTTTAAGATTGTCTGTTAACCACGCTCTTTACGATCATTCAACAAAGCATGTGATTTATTGTTCATCCAGATTAAAACCCCATTTTTTTTTTCACCAAACTCAATATAAATATTTTCACAAAAGTCTCTAGTTTTACTGTTCAATAGAAATTCATATAACTTTTGTTTATGATGAAGAAAAAAGAAATGAAACTTTCTATGTTTTTTACCACTTTTTACCATTGTTAGTTTATTGTATACGTTTAAAAATGTCCGTATAGGACGAAACTGCAGTAACGTTAGTTACAAATAAAAGTGGTAAAAAACATAGAAAGTTTCATTTCTCTATTCTTGATTATGATTTCCTACCACATAGTAACGGCTACATCCATCAACTTTTGTTTATTTTTTTATTAATTACAATATGTAATTCCTATTATCAACATTGTTTATTAAAAAATAAACATGAAAATTTCGCATGTTTTTTACCACTTGTATTTGTAAGTAACAGTAAGTAATTTGTATTTGTAACATTAAGTAAGTAACATACTAAAAGGACATTTTCAAAGGAATACAATAAACTGAGATAATTAACAATATACAAAACTCTAGGTAGTAACAGACGGTCCTTAACTTAAGTGAGTACCTGAATTTTGTTTAGCTGTGACAAAGTCGGTACCGGTATGCTTTAGTCATTTAACAGGTTACATCTGCAATGTTATGCTTATGAATTTCCAAGGATTCCAAATAATTGAATTTCAACCCTTGCTTGCATTGTGCAAAATTTCCATATCGTTTAGATTCAGGAACTTGTGTATGCATTCCAAGGAATTGTTTGAAAACGTTGAATAATTTTTGCCTAGTCTGAAATTTCGGCCACATTGTCCTACATAAACACTATTACACTATGGACACTTGAGCTTATAAACTCCAGATTTCTGTCTCATCTTTGGCATTGAAAAAGAAATTAGATAACCTGGCATGTGGTCTGAATGCCACTTCCACATTGTTCTCTTTGAAAGATTCCGCAATTGTCTCTGTTCTTCTACCAAAATAGAGAAAACACTTGACTTTTAGGTGCGCAGTGCTAGAGATCTTCCAGCGGATCATAAAGGAGATATAAGAGTAATTAATATAGATGGAATTGACAGTAACATGTGCTGTGGAACTCACGTTACAAACCTCAGCCAGCTTCAAGTGGTTAAATTATTACATACTGAAAAAAGTAAACGAAAGGATAAAATATTGTTACACTTTTTAGTAGGAAAAAGGGTTATAAATCGCTTAGAGACTTGTATAGATCGAGAACGGAAACTAACTGCTCTATTGAAGTAAGTATTTCTATTTCATTCAGAGAATCGAAATTTGTATTTAATATAACTTTCATTTTCATAGCAAGCGCCAAACGTAATGGCAAGCGATCGCGCAGGTATAGACCCTCCCAAGTAAATTACTATTGGATTACAATAAGCCTCTTGCCAGCCAATGTCGTACCTGTAGTTAGTTTTAATTAGGGTAGCAAATGGAACATGACTTCTTTGTGATTTCTTTTCATATTTTATTTTTATTTATACAAGGCATGAGATCTTAGTATTCTGAATAATTTTACTTTGCTGAAATACATCTCACCCATGTAATTATGTACTGGTTGTGACTGTTTATAATAAAAAATTAAACATATGTCAAAAATTGACTATATTAGGCAAGTAAGTAAATTCAGCAATGTTTATAGCTTACTCGATAACTGTCTATAGTATGAACTACCGATAAGTGAATCAATAGGAAAATGTGCATTAAACATCGATGAAGTTACTTGTCTTACTCACATTCTTGCAAAATTCATATATATTTAAAAAGAAAATCCCTCTCATCACAATATTCACGACCCAATTTCAGTAAAACATAATATAAACTTAGCTTTTTAAGTGTTGCATTTCTAAATGCAAATTATACAGAAGATAAGACAAGAATAAAACCAGTTTTCACAATTGTACTTTTTTCAAAACATAATGCTAGCTAACTATAATTTTTGTAATATTTCAGAATATGTAACCTGTTGGATGGAAAGGGAGCAGGAAAAGGAAATAAATTCCAAGCGAAAGTAAATAAAATGGTGAATCGCAAGGAGGCTGAAAAATCTGTTTCAGATTATTTTAAGGAAAACTGAATTTGTGAAATCAAGATGAAATATAGGTTTCTCATATTTGAACTGCTTTTAAAAGTCAACTCTGTTGACATGCTCTCACAGCAATGAGTTGAAGGAGAATGTACAGGGGAGCGAATACTTCTGAATAATCCAAATTTGTTTGTCCCAGAAGCCTCCTACACAACAGGAACTTAAACAAAAATGTTGTCAGCAGAACTGTTCCAGACCAGCTTACCCTCAGAAGGGAAAATTTCATAGTTCTTTCTAGTAACATTCGTATGAAAATTATTATACAGAAGTAAGCGTTCAAAGCATCTCCTGCAAATAGAGGTGAAAATATCAACCACCAATCGATGGTATTCAAATCCACAGAAGGATCATATTTGAATACAAATATTATAGTAAACAGTAGAATTGATATGAGGTTTATCCATATTTCAAACACAGTGAGTCCCAGCCACCTGACAAGTTCCTCTGTTGTGAAGAACATTTCAGTCCTGTTTTTCTAGAGGATCCTGTTTGAAAATTCTTATACGTAGTGCAGAGTTGAACCTCCGTTGGATTTCATAGTCTGCATCATCGACTGCTGGCTCTAGGTCATCTAAAAATATAAAATCATTAATTTATTAATAGACAAGACTATATCATAACAATGGACCCATTCTTGAAAATTATATATTATAAAAGTAAATCATTTCCCAAGTATCCCACAAAATTTTCCGGTTTTTATGTCAATTAACAACTGAGCAAGAGCAATTGAAAATGTAAGATCGCCTGCTATACATTTTGACGTCACACCAGGCAACAAGCTTCGAGCGGTGGCAACCGGGCCTGTAGTTGCAGACTATGAATCACTGCCATCACCGCCAGCATTCCCTTATCGCAGAGTCGACTGATGTGACATCATGCTTGACCACAGTCAACTATCAATTTGAGGGAGAAGATAAAGAGTGAAATTTCAGATTTTTTGCAGATGTACTATTTGAAACATAAACTTTCAAATAATAAAATTTCAAAAAATTGTTAAATGAGCCCATTCTTAGAATCTAACACAAGAATAATCTACAATCCTAGGTGATCAGTGACAAGTGTTTCAGAGGAAGGTCATATTTTCATAAAATCAAAGATGATGTGAAATATACTGAAATGGATTTTCAAAACATGAAACACCAGATTCATTTGCAATAACTTTGAATTCTTAGTTTTATGCTTTTTCACACAATTTTCAAAAATGTTCAGTTGGAAAAATCTCTGACTTATTAGGTTGTCTCTCTGTTTATGAACCAACAATGATTTGAGGTAGTTTTACTTACTTATAAGGTTGCAATTATGAATGCTTCGCTTAGAGAGATATAAGAAGGCAAACCCGAAAATGAAAGAACCAATAGAATACAACAAAATTGAAAATTAATATTGTTCTTGGACACAATGTTGAGGCAGAGGTAAAGATCTTGTGAAACCTATAACTCATATCATGTTGGAAAGTTAATCTGCAAGTTCAATCTCCAGAAGAATGAGCCGGTGTTACTTCTAAGCAATTATTGTTAGTTTCATTTCAAAAACTTGAAGTGTCAGAGTGATGGAATCCTACAAATTGGAGAAATTTACTAATTTTGAAACTTTTTTCAATTTCATCTGCATCAACTACTGTGGTCATTTGAAGCCTAATATAAGCATTTAAAGTTCCTACTTATATATTATTACTGTCCCTTCTAATAGCATATTTCAAAATATAATTGAGACATGATAATTGCTTTCCTAAATTAAATAATACATATACGCACCCAATAACTCAGTGGTGAGGGTATTTGTATGAATTTGGTAGGTGATGTTGCCGTCACATATTTGTAACGCTAGCAAAATCCCCCTTTGAATTGCTGCTCCTAAACAGTGAATGATAATTTCTTTTTCGTTGTTGTTAATCAGTTTGTTACAACGTTCCAATTGTGCCTGAAAATGATAAATAGTGAAACTAGATTATGTTGTGAAATTGAATGTTCATATTCGATTTCCAAATATTGTAAAATCATATTGTTCTTCAAACTGTATTTACAAATGTAAACATACCTTGATATTGGTTTTTGAACATACATACAAAACGTTTTCTCCTCTTTCAGGCTTCCTTGGCTGTCGAGGACGACGATTATGTTCATTTGTTTTTCTGTGATTTTTTGATTGAGTCGATTTTCCGATGGAGTTTTTGTTTATGTTATCCGCCATGGGAGATCATCACCAGTCTTCAAGATTTTACTTGATACTGGAGAACCAAATGACTTATCTGTATTTAGAAAAATTCCTAACCAAAATTATTTCCCTTCTTCTTCTTCTACAATTGTGTGACATTTTTTCATAACCTTAACCCTCCACACGAATAGTCAACATTGAAATTACATGGAAAAGTACTGCCTCTCTAATTTAAATTCTTTGACTTTTCGATTGCTTTTTTCCAATCATTTCGCTTTCATAAGTTGAATATATTGAAATTGTGGAACATGTAATTTTTCTAAGTTGTTTACTCATCATGTTAATTGTTCACGTTACGCTAACAACAAATGAAATTTAACAATATGACAACCGACACTAATGACAAATATAAGAGTGGTCAACTCACGAAAAATAAATGTACAGTAAGAAAAATCGTCATTTATATAAACGATGGAATGAACCAGCAAAGAAATGGAAAATCAAATTTACACTCCGACAGAGATTATTGGGATATTGTTTTATTATCTATGCGTATGTATTTTCAAAAGTTTGTTCAGTTTCTCAGAACTGAAAAATAAAACTTGCCTGCTTCACAATTTCACACACTTCTTATCTAGTCAATTCTTCGAAGCCAACAGAGTTGGTTAGTGATGGGTATAATCGAATGATTTTGTAGTTGTAGTGTTTGTTGTTTTTGAATTATCATTTGAATTATAAAACACTCGTCATGTGTAATAGAATCACTCAACAGACATCTATAATAGATTCCAGCCCGGATATTCACGAAAAAGTGATCCAGTGGAATTTTGAAAAACACAAGTACTTTTTCTGAGCTGTACGAATTAACTGTCAAGTAGGATTTATCTATACCTGCCACATCGGTTCCTTTAGAACGGGTATTTCCCAAAATGGGAAAATTGTCAAATTTGAGAAGAAACTCCAAAACATCTGAATGAAATTATTTTCCTAGGATGTGAATGTACCTTTATAGATTAAACTATGATTTTTGCTGTGACTTTCACTCTTAACTAAGAACAATGTTTTACACAAAAAAAAATTAAATTTGGCTTTGAAAAGTGCTTTGACTTCCTTTTTCGATCTTGAATTATTTCGTAAATTACGGAATATTTCCGTCAACAATATTTTCACTACAGGAATTTTTAGAGATTTTTTATCAGTTTACTGAATTCAAAATTTGTCAAAAATGATATAGTCAAAGTGCCATTTATTCTTGACCTGCTTGACTCGAATTATGACAGCATTATTAATCAGTGTTGCCAATAGAAGTATCTGTTCTTATAAGGTAATTATAATAATGTAATCAAGAGAGACTATTTGACTTTCAACAAAATGGAAAATTTCTTGAAATCAACAGAAAAATTCAGATTGAAACGATCAATATACGAAATACGAATCCATCATATCAATCGGTGGACTCACCAGTTGTAGACTTCATCAGCTGACGAAAATTATTATACCATTAAAGTTCACAATTACCTCAATAAACAAACGAATCAAACATGATATTCATATTTATGGCTGATGATTTCAATATTTTGGTATTTAAAACTGAAATAACGTCTTAGTATTTGTTCTTATAAGGTAATTATAATAATGTAATCAAGAGAGACTATTTGACTTTCAACAATATGGAAATCTTCTTGAAATCAACAGAAAAATTCAGATTGAAACGATCAATATACGAAATACGAATCCATCATATCAATCGATGTACTCACCAGTTGTAGACTTCATCAGCTGACGAAAATTATTATACCATTAAAGTTCACAAATACGACTTCATCAGCTGACGAAAATTATTATACCATTAAAGTTCACAAATACCTCAATAAACAAACGAATCAAACATGATATTCATATTTATGGCTGATGATTTCAATATTTTGGTATTTAAAACTGAAATAACGTCTGATTATCTTGATGTTATTCCGAAAAACACACAACGAGAAATACTAATATTAAACGAGTCATGATTTCTTTAAATGACCTCTGATTTTATCAAAATTGAGAAAGCATATACAGTTACTGAAAACAATAATAAAAACCGCTATCAATTTTCTAAATTGGTTCACAATGATGTTTAGAATAAGCATCTACAACAATCCTCTTTTGGATAATAAAATATTATGTGTAAAAGTATATAAATATATTAGAACGATGTATAATACTGAGGCAATATTATATAAACTGGTTGTGACAAGAATTATTCACAATTTTGTAGTGTTCATTCTACTACGAATTCACAAATACAACAGACATGCATATTTCATAAGAGTCTGACATTTACAATCCATGCTTGAAAACTCAGTGTGCATTCGTTTTGTGTTGAAGTTGAAACATATGTTCCGCAATTCTTACCCTTTTCTTTCGATATTAATGTCAAATGATTTGTTTCAATACCATTAAACATACTTATCTGGGGTAAAAATGTTTGATGATGATTCATTTGGAGTTCAATAAGAAAAGGAAAACAATGAAAAACGATACATGTATTCGTTAGAAAAATAATAATCCACAGACAAAGTCATAAATAAACAATAAGATGATGTCGGTTCTGCATTGCGTGGATGTAGCACTTTGAAGGAGTCTTCTGTATAATAGATTGAACTCGCCCACAGTAGGAATTCATGAGCTATTGAATATCAAAGATGATGATAAATTATGGTGTACTGCCAATTTGAACACTTCGTCCATTTGCAGATGAGGAGCACATTGATATCAATTGAAATGTTTTGTTTGATCATCATTTGAAATTGTGTGAAGCGGTTTTTCATTCTATTTTAAATTTTAAATCGGGTCATTTTCATAATTTGGCTTTGGACGGTTTTGATAGTTTATTAGATGCAGCAGTCGCACAAATACGGTGAAATTGACTCTGTACTTTCATTCTTCTCTATAAGACGGGAATAACTTCATCAGCAAAAATTCTCTTGTCAAAGTATAGTCATTACTTTATTACCACGGTTTTCTCTATCGTCGAAAATCGAATGCCATAAAAGCATAACACCTCCTTCATTTGAATATTATTTTAATTTAATTATGTTTTGTTGATTATTGTACAATTTTTCTATAAAGTATTTTATACCCTTCTCTCTTTCTTTTTTCAAGGTCATAAGATACCTTCAATATGCGAAACATCTCAGCCAATCAGCCATTACTCCACTCGGTTTTTGAGTTGTGAAATGAAATAGTTTTCAAATGACGTTTAGGTCATATCATTACGTCACGGTCACGATAAACAACTCACAACTCAACAAAGTAATATGATTGACGGATTATTATAGAGAATTGTAATTATGATAGCGTGGTCTGTGGTTAAAGACTTGTAATTTGTTACAAGTTGTACAAACAAGTGATAAGCGCAAGTACTGAATGTGATAATTTATTTTTATGAAATATGACAAATCCAAGTTGAACTAATAATGAATACCAAAAGCTGTGTCATCTACACAATTGTCTGTTTCGTTTTATTCTGGAATATTGTATCTCTACAAGATGCAAACCAGACCAACTCGTCTATTGCTCCAGTGGGAAAACGTGTAAACGACTCTGATAAAGTAAAATCTGCTGATAATGGAAGGGAACTCACCACTTCTGCAACTGAAAGTAAACTTGAAGTTACACCTTCCCCTACAAACTCTTTTTCAGCAACGAATCTCACAGCATCTTCTCCAAGCAATAAAACTAATTTTACTAGTCCTACTACCACAGTAAGTACACAAAACCTCACCATCCAGAATACAACAACTCAACAAACTGTTGATCCCGTCCCAGTGTTACCAGCTAAAGAATCAGCTGAAGATGAGCATAATAGCTCCATGGCTATTTTTTTTGTCCTGTGTGTCCTTGCACTTGGTATACTGCTGATTCACCTAATGCTTCAGACCCATTTTCAATATGTACCAGAAAGCATAGTTATAGTGTTCCTAGGAGCTTTGATTGGGCTCATCATGAATGCTCTTTCGAATCGGAATATAAGCAACTGGAGGAAAGAAGAAGCCTTTTCACCAACAGCATTTTTCCTTATTCTCTTACCGCCTATCATCTTTGAGTCAGGCTACAACTTACACAAAGGTAATTTTTTCCAAAATATAGGTTCCATACTGGTTTTTGCTATTTTGGGTACAACAATATCTGCTCTTGTGATAGGCTTTGGAATATACTTCCTTGGTTTAGCAGATGTTGTCTATAGGTTAGGTTTTGTTGAATCTTTTGCTTTTGGATCTCTTATATCCGCTGTGGACCCCGTTGCAACTATAGCTATTTTTCACGCTCTCAATGTGGATCCCATTCTTAATATGTTAGTTTTTGGTGAGAGTATTTTAAATGATGCCATCGCCATTGTACTTACCAATGCGGCATTGGAATCGAATAATCCTGATAATAGTACAGGGGAAGCTATTGTACTAGGAATTCAAAGATTCTGTTTGATGTTCTTTGCCTCAGCAGGTATAGGGGTGATATTTGCCCTCGTAAGTGCTTTATTATTGAAACATGTTGACTTGAGAAAAAATCCGTCCCTAGAGTTTGGAATGATGTTAGTTTTTACGTATGCACCATATGTTTTAGCTGAGGGGATACATCTTTCGGGTATAATGGCGATTTTATTCTGTGGCATAGTCATGTCACATTATACCCATTTCAACCTTTCAACTGTCACTCAAATAACTATGCAACAAACACTTCGAACATTGGCTTTCATTGCAGAAACTTGTGTCTTTGCATACCTAGGTTTAGCTTTGTTCAGTTTCAAGCACAGAGTAGAACCAGCTTTGGTAGTTTGGAGTATTATTTTGTGCTTATTAGGAAGAGCTTGCAATATCTTTCCTTTAGCAATCCTAGTCAATAGGTTCAGAGAGCATCAAATAACCAAGAAAATGATGTTCATTATGTGGTTTAGTGGACTACGAGGGGCTATTTCGTATGCTCTCTCTCTTCATCTCAGCTTTAGTGATGAGACGAGACATGTTATCATCACTACAACACTGATAATTGTGCTGGTAACCACTTTATTCTTTGGAGGGTCTACTATGCCTCTATTAAAGTTCATGCAAGCTACTAAGAATCCATCTAGGAGGTTGAAGAAACGCAAGAAAGACAGAGAAGTGACTTTGAGCAAAACTAGAGAATGGGGACAAGCCTTGGATTCAGAACACTTATCTGAGACTACAGAGGGAGAAATGGAAGTTTCATTTGTCTCGGATCGTATCAAAGGATTTGCCAAGTATGATTTGAAGTATCTTATTCCATTTTTCACCAGGAGGTTCACCCAACAGGTTAGTATATATCAATGAAATTTATTGAACGGCTACATGAAATACATTCAATGCCTTAGTACCTACATAAAATGCAATGATTCATTCCCGTTTAGGAAAGATTGGGTTTTTGGCTTTCTACTTCGGCGTCATCTTATAAAAAAAGTGGGAAACTTCCGAAAAAAGCAAGAAAATAGTCATTTTGAAATAAAACTCTTCGAACAAGTTTCTATCAGATACAAACAGGAAGAAAAAGTCCACCTGAAACTACTTTTGAATATATGAATATTGAACTACATGGGATTCATTTTTTTCTTGTTTTGGTTGGTTTCTGGGTTTTGCAGTGGTCTTCTTTGGTTATAATCTCCAAACGTTTCAACTGCGGCAGTCATCTTCAGTGGCGAACATGCACTTTCCGACGGAGAAAAAAAGATCATGTTCGAAAATATCAAGAGGCTAGCAACGTCAAATCATTATTCAACAAGAATGTATTCAGAAGCTGAGAAATACACAAACATTAAGAGAACTTCAACAGAAAGGAAGAGAGAACAAACGTACCAAAGATCTAGCACACAGCATTGAAAATCGCTAAAACGAAGCTAAGTCATCCAAATCGCACAGGAAGTATGTGTGAACCCACCACTAGTGAAAGTTCACGGAAAATCAGCATTATAAGTGCCACGAGAGAAATGAGAGCTTCAGTTTCAGTTTACACGTCAAGAAGAGTACTTCGACCACATCACTGAAGATGACTGCCGCTGCAATTGAAACGTTTGGAGATTATAACCAAAGAAGACCACGGCAAACCCGGAAGCCAATCAAAATAATAATAATAATAATCTTTATTGGTTTCGAAGACCTAAAAGGTATAAAACAAGTCAAAAGAAATTTGAACATAGATTAGGCAAACAATACATGTACTTTAAAATGCTATAAGGAGCAAAGAGAGTTACACTTTTCTCTACTCGGTTTAAATTCATAACATTAGTTATGGAATTGAATCAGATATCATTCACAGGATTGCTACACAATATAAATATATAAAAGTAGTTATTTCAACAAGGATTTTTCTTCCAGTTTGTGTCTGAAAGTTACTTCTTTGCATGATCGATCCTCACCTCTTTATAAAGAATTTATTTTCAAATTCATTGCTTTCTTTCTTTGGAAGATTTCCACATTTTTTGTACAAAGATGAAGTAGAAAGCCAAAACCTTCCTTTCTCAAAAAGTAATTTAATGTGTAACATCTTCAAATTTTCTTTTCTTTTTTGAAATGCAACATTAAACATTGGTAGGTAGAGGTCAACATCTGAGTTAGATAGACACTGCTTTAATTTTTTATTATTCTGAATTGATATCACCTTACAGCTTTTTTTATCTTCAATTCTTGATAATAAAATTTATTTCTCTGCTATTCTATGTATTATTGTGTTTTCTTATTTGTTAAAATGCATGCAAATTTTATAATACATATTATTTTCGTTCAACAAATGATTAAGGTTTTATTAAGATGAAGTAGAGTAATGAAACAACTTTAATATTGCAGGTTGTCATTACCGATTAAAATGTTTCAGGAACTCAAAGATTGCAAAAGTCAGATGACCGATCTAACTAACCAATGGTACCAGGCTATTAGGATTTCCCCCGACCAGTCTGATGATGAAGGCCCTGCTACTGCAAGATCAAGTATTTCCAGTATAGTTCGCTGACTATCAAATAAGCCCAAGGATGAATCTTCAACCTTATTAACTAGCATTGATAAAAAACAGTATTGATATTTGGATTCCTTTTACTAGTCACAATGGATGTACTTATATTTTTATTTTATGAAATACACCTCAAAATTACTAGTTTTTCTTATAGATATGGGAGCATGTGATGTGTGTATATTGTTGAACAGTCCGCGGGACTCTAATTGTTTTTGTAAAGTTTGGCGATCTAATAAAATATATATTCTTGTCATGTTAATTGCCTTTTAATTTAAACAAGGTTTCATGTTGAACAAAAATTATTCTCCCACATACTATCCTTTCATCAATCTTAATTTTTTTTCTATTGAGAATGGGTACTTTTGTCTCGACAAAGGTAAATTAACCATGTATTGACATGATTTTGTGGGTCTGCATATTGTTACATCAATATGTTTTAGAAGTGATCTCCAATATTTTTATAATTGATTTGAAAACAACTCTGGAAGAACTGGATAGGAAACAATAAAAAATACGGCGGCGGCTCGTCAGAGGAGGCAAGGGAGACTTCGCCTCCCCATAAAATTTGAGGTTATTCATCGCAATAAATTAAAAGATATTGACAAATAATTATGATTATTTTTTTCTAAAAATGCTTGGGTATAATTACTTTACCATTAATTTTTGATATAAATACATAATATGCCCGAAAAAAAACCATCACTTACTACGTAGTATGTACCACACTGTAACCTGCATCAACAAACCTCAAACGCACCGCCCACCCACGAATGAATAAATCAACAACCCGAAATAATAAAAGCCATACGTTGATACGTTGCAAGGCAGCCAAGCCTCCGACCGCTTTAAAAAACACAAGCCGCGAGACCGATCCAGCGAGCGACATACGTCCCGATTTGTAATTTTAGTTGCATAAATTATAGCGTTAGAGGTTAGCCTCCAGTTGGCCTTCGTTAGTGTACGACTGCGTTTGACATTTCATCAATGTCATATAATTTAACACCTTTTTAGACAATAAAAGTTAGAATTTGTAATATTCATACAGAGAAAATATGTCATGTTCATTTGTATCTTCTCAACTGATTTAAAAAAATTCTTTCACTTTTGGAAAGTTAAATTATTAGCAAGTGATATTTTTAATAAACTAAATAAACCTTAATTATTAAGGTATCAAATATTTGACTATAAAAATAAGATTATTTCGTATGTGATCGGAAGAAACTCATTAATTTTTTTTTAATATATTTGCCTAAAGGTTTAGGTATTAGACAAAAAGCCCAGTTGATAATAGAAATGAGAATATATTTTTGTAAATAAATTAGAACTAACAAGATTGTAGTAATAGCAGGTTTATACAACAACACATAAGCACTGAACCTAATAGTAACTAAGAGTATACCTAATTTTTCCAATTATTATAAGAGAAACAATTGTTTTGAAATTTCTGTAGTCAATGACACCTGTAAATAATTCAATTTGGTACATGCTCCATTTCGCTTTGATCTAAGCTCTTAGGTATTTGTCGAGTGTTATTCAACTTTCTAGGCTTGTTCTTAGTCAAGTTTCCATAAGGGCTCTAATTGATTTGTTAAGGTTGAATTCTTAGTTTTTACTCTTGAGAGTTGTTGCATAAACCTGCTACAACTTCTAAAAAAGTAATATCAACCTGACAGAAAGGAACTTTCACAAAAATAAATGCTAGGTGAAATGCAATTGATATCAACATAATTTTAACAATACGAATTTCAAGTAATAATGGTACATTTTGCGGCAAATGTGAGATTAAAACATCCTATCTTATTTTGAAAACCTATTCAATAAAAAAGAAAGAAAGCTGAAGTGAAATACACTGCGGACTTAAATGGTCCCCTCTTCCTAACTTTTGAACGGAATAAGATATTGAAGTCGGACAAAATTTAAGTATTGTCTTTCTTATCAAAAAGTACTGAAATTTTTATGCTTTGTTACATAAATTCTGTGCAACTTTGATATGTTTTTCTCATTCACCTCGAGAAACAGATTAAAAAAACATTCAAGTCCACACTGTATGTATATTTTTCAACATGTACACACTTTGTAGTACACCTCAGAAATTATATGTTCAAAACACTATCCAAAATGATCCAGTTCACAGGACATTCCATTAAAATGGATTTTATGCTTTTGATTACCAATTAACTAATTCATCATTAATCAATTCTGATAATCTTCAGGAAGAGACTATTATTATATTTATATTTTATCTGTTTTATTCTCTACCAGGCCCATTCTGCCTGGATCTTTTTACAAACATGTTTAAAGATAAATTTAAAACGTGTCAAATGCAAAGATTATCAATCTAATTTATCACTAACAGCTGATTATCTATTTATCTTGTTTTAACCTTATATTATATTTGGCACATTATGTTCGACTGATTTTACTTGTTTATTTTGATCAAGTGGAGCATTCTGCTGTGGGATTGCATGTTGTAACGGAACAGATGGTGGATTTCCTTGAACATTTTGTTGGTTCTTACTCTGATGAGGGTTTACTTCGTTGGTGTTCAGATTGTTGTGGTGTTCCACATTCTGAAAAAAAGATTGAATTTATTGAAGATAACTATTCAGCATTGTATTATTTCAAATATTTTTTCATTTAAGATAAAAAAAAATACCTAAAAAAAAGACAAAGTCAATATTTCGAAAACAAAATTAATTTTAAAAACTTAAGCTACATTCAGCTACAGAAAATTATCTATATTCATAAATTCCACGAAAAAATTTCAGCAAATTTCAACATTTTTAGTTTTATATTGCAATAGAATTTCATCTTCATCTTTTTGAATAACTGCGAAGATTTATTTGACATGCTCTCTAGGAATGAAGAAAAATTATTAATTACTGCTGCTCATAACTTCCCTATCTTTGTATGAAGAGTATGAACAGTAAATGTTTACAAAACCTCTCAAGCAAAATCTTGCTCGAGAAAGCTATTGTATAGCGAAACACGTTTCACGGTTTTATAAACCTTTTATAGAGAAAATCAAAATAAATCATCTAAGTTTTGATATGGATTTCCATCAAGGATCAGCCATTTACCCGTCAATATTCAATACTTACTCCTTGTTGGCTTTGCGAGGACCCTTGCTGTGGATGGGGAACTCCTGCAGGAGGGACATTTTGGCCTTGCTGTACTTGCTGATAACCACCTTGTGGTGCCTGTTGGTACCCTCCTTGTTGGTAACCACCATGAGGAACTTGTTGATACCCACCAGGAGGTACTTGCTGATATCCTCCAGGTGGTACTTGTTGGTGTACTTGTGGAACTTGGTTATTACCTTGAGGTGCCTGCTGATGTTGCTGGTACCCATTAGGATTCTGTTGGTATCCACCTTGTGGTACTTGCTGATATCCTCCTGGAGGTACTTGCTGGTATCCTCCAGGGGGTACTTGTTGGTACCCACCTTGTGGTACTTGATTATAGTTAACCTGTTGAGGTGCCTCTTGGTAACCTCCTGGTGGTACTTGGTGATAACCAGCTGGTGGTACCTGATGCCCTTGTGGTATCTGGTTAGCAGCCTCATGCTGCCTAATATATTCTGCTAGTTCTTCATCGGTGAATGGTTTTTGTTCGTCAAGACCCTGCCAGCCATTATCTTGTTTGAAGTCATTAGTGTTAGTTTGATGCAAAAATTCATTGAAATCTATAAATCCATCACGGTTTTTGTCCATCTCATTGAAAACACTTTCCCTCATACGTTCCATCTCTTCATATCTCTCTCTCATGTCATCTTCAGGAGCGCCTTGTTGATACATCTTATCCAGCTCCTTGATGAATAAGGATTTGACTTCGTCTTGATCCCAAAGCCCATTTCCATCAACATCGTGCAGCATGAAGAAGGTTTTAGGATCGAAATCTTGTTGCATTTGGTCTTGTTCTTCCCAAACTTCCTCAAGTTGAGCTTTATGTCCCGGTTCATGCAATTTTTCATGTTTTTTATGTTTTTCCTCCAGTTGCTTATGAAAAACAAAATATCAGTTGAAAATATGTATTGAAATAATCAGTTTTACAATTCAAGTAATGATATAATGGAATATTGTTTGCCGATTACCATGATATTTTCACTCATAAAACAATTTCCGAATAGACTTGAAGATTTTCAAATTCAGCTGAGTTGATTAAATAAATATAACATTCATCAGTTTGGATTGGTAGGTATGAAATTTTGTAAAATTATGCAACCCCTTATATTATCTCACATAAATCAACATAATCTATTTGAATAATGTTATTCTCTATAGTAAATTTTTTATATTTGCTGATGATCTGAAGATGTTCGAAGTTATTCATAAGTCATCCGATACTGAATTATTACAGAATGATTTATGTCACTTTGTACGCTGGTGTGTCATTAATTTACTTTATTCCAAAACAAAAATCCCATAAAAGGTCTATATAAAATCAAGCAATCGGAACAAGAAACAACAAATACAACCAACGATTTAAGAATCACTTTTGACCCAAAAATGTCATTCAAACCCCATATTGCAAATGTTACTTCAAGAGCAAAAATGTTAGGTGTCACATTTAGATCTGCAGAGAAATTATCTCTCTGTTCCTTAAAAATCATATAAGAATGGTATCTTAACTTGAATACTCTGCCTCATAGAAGATTAAAATCAGATCTTATAAATTCCTTGGAACTTGTTGAACTTATAACTTTAAATGTGAAATAAAAGAGAACAAGAAATACAGAAATCTTCAAAGTACCCTTTCATCATACCAACTATGGCCAGAAGGAATTTAAAAAGATTGTGATTGATTGGTTTATTTTTGCTTTTTTTATATTTTATCCTTACATCTAGCTGGTAGTTATAGTACATATGTGTAAATTTGTTAATTACTTTGTGAAAATAGGCAATGCCATAAATAAACAAATGAATAAAACTTCAAGAGTGACCATATCACAAACAGAAAAACGCTTTGTATCAAATAACAAGCTGATAGTACCTTTTCATTGAATATTCAGGATTTTTTTAAATTGTAGCAGATCATTCCAAAAAACCAAAGAAGGTACATGTTCAGATATCCAATAATGGAAGAATTTGATAAAATTATGTGTACTTACATAAAATGATTAGCAGAACACAATTTAGAATTTATATTACAAACCTATTTCGTTTGGAAATTTCAGTCAAAAGAATTTCATACAATGGTGTGTATCNCCTTGATCACAGGAAAAGAAAGGTTATCTTTAAGTTGAACGTGAGGTTATTTGTCTCTGCCTCTTCTTTAGTTTGTATTTGGATATCTGACTTCTGAAAATTGTGCCAAATTTCATTGGTAGGTTCAACAAGGCCAAATCTAAAGTTGACGTTAAGTAATCCAATTTGTCGTCCCGATAGATTTTTGTATCACTGCATCCCTATATCACCCGGCAGTTTATTTGTTGGCACGATTAGACTAGAATAGCTTAAATTATTGTTTCGTTGAACTTCCACTTTCACAGAGGTACCTTATTACATTCACATATTTTTTGAATCACAAGTTGGTTTTACGTGAAAATATTCTATTTTAGTAAGAAAATACGATACCTTTTCTCGAATGAAAAACCGTTTTGTGTCTAGATAGCTGATCACAGGAAATTACAACTTTGTATGATTTCATTTGGGTTACAAGTATTTTTTCTGAGTTGGCTACTCTGAGAATTTGTCATTAATGTCAGTTATCATCTCAATCAGTGTTACCGGTTACAGCTCTGAGAATAGGTTCTTACCAGAGAACAAGTGACATTTAATTTTTGTGCCTATGAGCAATGGTACTATCACTCCCCGACTACTCTTGGTTTTCTGAGTTAGATCTGGAGTCTTCTTCTCAGGAATTTCATATTTGTGTTAACAACCACAAAACACGTTATGGCACGTGGTGGCTTACCTGAAATAATTCAACCAAAACAAGTTTAGGATTCCTCTAGTAAGGTTATTCAAAGAGTACCATTATGCAATTGCAAGAGGTATACATAAATGAAGCCTAATGCAATTTGATCCTGTATACAATGTCCTATCTTCTTAAAGAGAATCTAAAATATTTATTTTTCACTACTGTGAAGTATATACTCCAGAGGAAATGTAATTGAGTGAAGAATTTGTAAAATAAATAACAGATTAAAAATATAAAGGTAATCAACTCTGGAGCCGCAGGGAAGGACTACAAAACTGCCAAAAGTCCAGATGTTTTCGTGAGTGACAGTACACTGCTTCGCCAGATATTCCAGTCGTTCGTTTCCCCTATTCTACAGTAGTGGAAAAGGTGATGGAATTCTCAGTATCGGTAAAGATAGGTATTTTTGGGTATCCAGGATTGTTACAAATACTCACACCTATACATTATTGAAAAAGAAATAGTATTTAGATTGCTTAGCTAGTCAATTGTACGACGTCCAATTTAAAAGAGTTATCAAGTTTTCGATGTTCAATCATAACAAAAAGCCTATGCTGTGAATAAAGAAAGATATCTGTAATAGATAACACACGAGTATACTCATCTAGAAAACACGTAATTCTGATATGTACCGCTTTTGGTGGAACATAGTACCAAGTCACTTGAACACGTCCCGCGAACGTAAAAGAGAGACGAATATCCAACCTTTCTTCGATGTTCCAGACTATCAAAGTTGCAAGGGATGTTCGCGCGTTTCCTATCAGGCGGATGGCTCTTTTCTGGATGGAATCCAACAGTTTCAGGGTATGCTTAGGGTATACATGAGAACAATACTCCAAAGAAGGTCTGATCTGAGCTGTATAAGGCATCAAAAGTTGCTGAGGTGTGTACAGTTTTCTGGTTCGGAACAGTCGTGTTCCAAGCTTTTGAGAAGCAGCCTTTGCAATTCCAGCGACATGATTGTGCCAAGAGATATTGGTGTCCATTTTAACCCTCCAACAAACTTTTTGAAGCAGAAAGCGGGATTGTCTGACCTGACATCATCATATCCGGTTTGGAGACATTTATCTTCTTGGAGAAAACCGATGCCTGGGTTTTTGTGGCATTGAATTGAACCTGATTACTTTCACCTCAATTCGAAATCACGTCTAAATCTTCATTGAGATATGCAACCTCATGCTGCCGGTGAAATGTGCCTCCGTAGCCGATGTCCTGGGATCCAAATGGAATGACGAGACAAGTGTGCGGTCGTCAGCAAAACAATATATTGGACTCTTGGGTGTTTACAATAAGTCATTGATATACAATAAAAAGAGGGTTAGGTTAGGTTATGACTCCCTAGGAAACACCAGCGTTGATGGTAAAAGTATTCGAGAGATATCCATCGACGACCACTTGCAGGATGTGGAAAAACTATTTTCTCGAGATACTTTTTATGCCAGAGGTTCCGATTCTACCATCATCCGATCAAATTTGGATACCAATATTTCTTGACACTATCACGTTACTGGAATAGTAAAATAAGGTCATATTTTCTGGAGTGACTGATTTTTGGGAAAGAAAGTTGAGTCCATGATATATAATATAAAGTGATGGAAAAAATATGGATCCCTGGGGAACACCAGCGACGGCCACTTGTATGGAACGTTCTTTCAGGAAGCTGAAAAGCCTTACACAAAAATGATCTGACAAGCCATAGCATCGAAGTTTGGCCAGCAAACCCTCATGCCACACATGGTCAAAAGCCATAGGAATATCAAGCGCAACAGCTCTTGATTCTCCATATTTCTCGATTGCGTTATTCCAAATATGTGTGATATACGACCAAGTCAAAATAAATTCACAATCTCTCAGTATTTTTTTTCAAGGATAAAACACAAGCACTATAGGAAATTCCTTAAGGCGCTCTAGGAGCGGTGCCTGTGCGAAAATAGTAATTCACATTGTATTTGGATCACTGGAGATTGAATCCATTTGGCAAAACGTTCTCAGCAAGCAGTCACAGTCCCTCGCGTATTTCTGATATGTACCGATCTTGGTGAAATGAAGTGCACCGAACGAAAGTCATTTTTGTGGTGGAAATCAGTTTTTATCGACTTCCTGTGTGGAGGTTGATAAAACTCAAAAAATACAATCGAAACATTCATCTATATATGAGAATGACAATAAAGAAAAAATATATTTTACCTATACGAAATCCTAATTCGATGTGTTCAATATGAAAGTTCATAGCAACAAAATGTTGTTCAAATAGATAGAAACCAGGCCCACTAATAATATAAAACCATAGAAGAAGGTATGTTATAAAAAGGTATGGGTTTGTTGATGATGCAATCTTCAATCGTTCCTACTGTAGCCTGCAGTTTGCTGGCCCAGTGTGCGGTTGTTCCAATCTAATTTTGTTGTGGTTCCCTGTCAACCCACTACAAAAATATATAACAATTGTTGACTTCATTTTGAGAACTGCCCAATATAATGTCAACTGTCTTTTTTTGCTCTTCTAAAAAAATTCCACGGAATAATAAATAACAGTTAGGACTCTTTCACACGGGAAGTTTCACGTCTCTCGCTCCTATACGGGAGCGTTTATCACTCCTACCTACCGCCTATTCACACCGGGAGTTTTTTTAGTTCCTGGCTCTTTGAGGTCGGTCGTAGAATGGATCGCAGTTGAGCTATTACCATATATCTTCTCTACACGTCGGCACAAACCTCGATGATAAAAACGTCAACGATCGAGAATGGGATGGATAAAGTTGCGAAATTTACGTTGAGCACCTTGCAGACTTCCACCCAACTTCTCACGACTTCATGTCTCGACATGAAGTCGTGACATGCAGACAGCACTAACTAACAGCCCCACAGCCCCATTCATCCTTTTGCATTTTGAGGAGACGTGACTCCCTGGCTTAATGTCAAAGTCAAAATATGCTTTATTGTCTGAAAATTAACATCTTATCGATAAAGCTTGGTTAAAATAATTCGAGAAATAAATTCACACATATTCACACAAATTCACACATAATCCTTCTTTATATAAGATATTTATTGTGTCAACTAGTACTGATAAAGCATTGTCTGGCAGATTTTTATAGAATTTGGTAGATTAAATTATCAAGTGGATCATACGGAATGTGAATATTTTGAGTTAATTTCTCTCCTATCATGCCAAAATAGTTATTGAAATCGATGGATGATGATGGAGTGTTCAATTTTTGCTTTCTACCCTTTCCCCTGAGATCATTAATTACCTCTTCACGTATTGCTTGCTTTGTTTATTCTGTTAGCATAATAAAGAGTTTTAGCTTGTTTTATGGTGTTTCTATACATTCTGCGGTAGCAGGTGGAATAATTTAAAACATTTGCGGGTGATGTGAACTTTCTAATGTATTGTAAGCAACGAAAATTTCCTTGCAGACACCCTTATTCCCTTTGTTATCCATTCTTTCTTATCATTATTTTTCATTTTGATTTTTTGTATTGGAAATCTATTATTGAATGTGAACAAAAACATGCTATAGAATTCTAGAAAGGGATTTTCAGAAAGTAGAAATTGATTCCAGTCTTGAGGTGCTTGAGGTGCAGGAAACGTCAAAGCTCTCGTCTTCCGAAACGTGTCTGTTCCAGTTCTCCGTCTAAAAGCTTCATTGGACTCGTTGTATTTTGGTGCTACAAGCCTCCCTCTCTCTAGAGAGCGAGAGACGTAAAGCTCCCCTGTGAAAGGGCGCTTACGGTAGTTTATAGACAATATAGATTATAGCGACAAGGAGTCACATCTGCTGCATAATTGTCATACCTAATTCATCTAGAGGAAATTCAATAGCAACATTTACCTTGCCTCTAAATCTTTCCCTTAGAGAGAATCTATTAAAATGAATAATTACTAATATACGGAGAAACGTATGGATTGATAGAGACTTTGTGCATTTTATTTTTTCCTTGCAACTCGAACATGTCGGCTTTTCATGTCCATCCAAAGTTTCCTTTCTTGTGAAGAAATCCAAGCATTGCGATAAACTCAATTGGCCAGTTCTTTGTGGTACGGGGAGTGGCAAATTCCAGAAAGGATCGAAAGTTACTGATGACTATCCACAGCGTGTGCACTTCCTTGGCCCATTAGTACTCCACTTCAGCATGGTAGTTCACTAGTTTTTGTCCAGAGGAAGATGATATTCAGCTTCAGGTGAGGCGAATTTTGTCCGAAAAGAGAAAAAAAATGAATGAAATATCGAGATCTTATTTTCGAACTCCGTAGACTCTATCTAGATCACTCAGTTGAAATGGATGTTATCATTGTTGGAGTTCTTGGTGGAAAGATACCTATTCTCGAATTATGTCTACTCTCCAATCTCAAAGTCATGCCGGATTGCTGGTGAAAGGCAGAAATCATGGTCAGAAAAATGCAGAAGGCTCTTGATGCTTTGCGTCTTGTCAGGGCAATTTTTTTACTGCAATTCGGGTTGAATAAATATAGTCATGTAACAAACTTTTTTGTTTTTTTCTTTCACAGGCAAACAGACCATAAGCAGGAGAATACATTCAATAAAAAAATAATCAAAATTTTACACCGATTACACAGAAACGCCGAAACTAATGGAGATTTCTGCATTTCATATAGGTATCTGATGACGTCACGCTCCCTTTTCTTGAATTTCTTCTTTGAGGCAATTTTCCGGAGTATTAGAAACATTCCGAGATTTACGAGACATATGAACATTTACAATCCAAAAGGAACTAATGTTGAAGATGTAGTTACAACTTTAACTAACCTGGAACTCATTCCTTAGCTTCTCTCTTTCATCTCCGTTGGTGTGATTGAGTTTTTCAATTTTTTTGTATTCTTTTTCTAGTTCATATTGCTTGAATTGCTCCTTTCTTTTTTTATCAGCCTCTGCCAGATCAGCGGTTGTTTTAGCAATGAGTTTTTTCAAATCCTCCACTTCGAATGTGTGTGGATTGGAGTGATCTACATGATGATGTACCGGATCTTCATCAATAGAATTACTAGGATCTTCCAATTTTCTCTTTTGAGCTGTCAGTTCCTTTAATCTTTCCAGTTCCACACGTTTTATTTCATCAAGTTGGGTCCTAACATGATGAGAAACAAGCTCCAACTCGTCTGCTATTTTACCAGATTTTATATCACTTTCATCAGCCTTCTCGAGTTTTTGCCTGAATTCAGGATCAGACTCTAACGCATTTACTATTTCTTTGAGGTACCTGTGATATTCCATGTAGTTCTCTAGGCCATTTATTTCAGACTCCTGCTCATTGGCCTCTTTCTTTGTTTGTGACACTGGTGGGGCAAAGCATGTTTGAGTTATTAACAAAATTATTAAAAATATTTGGATCCTCATTTCAAGCAGCCTTTGGAATTTGTTACAAAAAAAGGCCCTGGAAGACAATTATATTGATTTGTTACTTATTCTGAAATATATTGATGGATGTAACCGTTACTACGTGGTAGGAAATAATAATGAAGAAAAAAGAATTGAAACTTTCTAAGTTTTTTACCACTTTTATTTGTAACTAACGTTACTGCAGTTTCGTCCTATAAGGACATTTTCAAACATATACATTAAACTCAAATAGATACAAATAAAAGTGGTAAAAAACATAGAAAGCTTCAATTCTCTTTTCTTCATTATTCTCACCATAAATTAAACATATAATGATAATAGTGAAATCCCTGTAAACATTCAATTTTTGTACAACCCATAGAGATAAATATTAAGATGATTAGAAAATTTAAAGTACGGACAAGTTGAGATATTTACCTAAAGAATTATTGCTAGATATATTCTATTTCTATGCAGTGGTCCACATATTTAAAAGTGTATCTCAATAGTCTATTAAGTCTATGTATATCCACATAAGCACCAAATGCCTGATTCACCACTGTCAGTTGTCATCACCTAGTCAACGACATAGGCACAGTATTTTAGCATTCTACTGTGACAGGCATGTTGAAAAATCTAAAGGATAAAACACATAAGTAAAACCATGTTGAAAATTATAATTTTAAAATGGAAGTTTCGGACTGGACAACGTAAAATTTGTAGATAATACATGTGTAAAGATTGCGCTGAAGGAACAAACAGTTTGGAAAAACTAGATAGTGTCGTATTCTACGTTTTCAGAAAAACCTTGAAAAATAAATCAATTCACGATCTATCTTGAATCAAGAACAACCTTCAGAATGTTGAAATAGAAATTCTGATCGTGTAGTTTTACAATCACATTAATTATTACATTACTATTATATCAAAACTATTTGAAGTCGATGTACACACCACTGACGGTGTCTGTCGCAGTAGCAGACGAAACGTTTGGTACTTTAGGTTCCATTCGACCACTGTCTACCAGTCTGGATTTTGTTCCCTTTAATCTCTAATTAGCGGATAGTACCGACTGCTGAGGCCATAAACTAAAAAGTAGTTGTAACTCAGAAGAAAAATAAGGTTAGTGACAATAAAATTTAATTGGTTTGTACCGCCAAAAGATTGAAAAATAGTTTTTATTCAAACTTATCAAAATAGATAGACTTTAAGAATGGACTTTTCCAAAATTACTCCAATAGAGTGGGTTGAAAATGAAGAACGTTATCTGCATCTTCTGGAGGATCAAACTTATCGTAACAGATTACCTTTGATGAATGTGAACGAGTGGGATCATATAGATAATTCTACGCTAGTCAGGTTCAGAGGTATGATTCAAGACATGCATAGTCCAGAATACTACCTCGAAAAAGTGGAAGTTGTGAATGAAAGCACCAATGAGAGAACTCTCAGAACAAGTCGATACTGCGATGTAGTTGCTGGTGAAAAAGAGTACTTAAATTTTAACAGCGATAACAATTCAACCGCTGAGCGGCAGACTTATGTTGTCATCTCAGTGCCAGGGATTAATGAATGGGCCTTCATCGAAGATGAGAAGCATTTCAAAGTAAATCTAGGCCACCTATCATCGGGAAATATATCAAAAAAGCGAAATCACCAGGATTCCATGGATGAAGAAGATGCCAAAGACTCTGTAAATTCAACTCATGTAGTGAATCACAAAAAAGTTTGCAATGAAAACTCAGCTAGAAGGAATGAACCAGTGAGAGCAGCTAAAGGTGTTTCGTCAACTTTTCCCCTACCAGACGAATCTTTTAAGATTTGCCATTTGAAAGTATACAACAAGCAAGAAGAGTTGAAGTTGAATAACGTATATGAATTCATAGGATTTCTCAGTGTAGATGCATTAACAGATCCCATTCCAGAAAAAGATGACAATTCTATGGAATTCGAAACTTTGCACCCTCCAAGTTCTTTAGTGCCAAGGATACATTGTGTCAGTTTCAGAAAGTTGAAACATCATAATCCCCTGCTAACATATGAAAGTTCGATGGAGGATGGAGGTAAGCTTGATGCTATTCGAAAGGAACTCATGTTGTTACTGAAGCCCTTACTGTTAGGCGATGAGCTTGCCGCTGAGTACTTGCTTTTGCATCTGATATCTGAAATCTATCTACGAAGGAACTTTATGCCTCTTGGAAAATTTTCTTTGAATTTTTCTAACATTCCAAAACTTGATTGCTTGGATTATGTTGAAGAGTTTTACAAGATCATCTCAAATATAGTTCATAAGAGTTACTATTTGCCCATGACTCTCGAGAATTTAAATAATCTCTCGTTTGTTCCAAAAAAAGATTATGAGAGTAATTGTTTGATATCTGGGGTACTCCAGTTGAGTGACAATACTCATGTAGTTTTGGATGAAACTAAGCTGAGTTCCGGAAAACTTGATGCAGCAGGGGTGAATAACGTTAAAGCTATATCTTCAGCAATCAAGAATCAAAAGGTGGCTTACGATTTCAATTACTATTCTATTGAATATGAGTGTGATATACCATTTCTCATACTTTCTGAAGGAAAGTCAATGCTATACTCCGATGTTCATATTCCAATCAGACCTGATTCAACGTGCATCAATACATTTAGGGAGATTCTCCAAGCAGCTGATCATTTTTTAAAACCGAGTCTTTTGGAAGACATTAGAAAGTATTTAACTTCAGTAAGACTTACTCAATATGAGATTTCTGAAAACGTAGAAGGGTTAGTGCAAAATGAGTTTGTTAAAATGAGACAACAAGGAGCAGTTTCCCCAGACGATTTACACGAGTTGCTTGTTACCGCAAGGTTGCTGTCAATATCACAAGGGAAAACAAGTTTAGATGAAAACTGTTGGAGGAAAGCTTGCAATCTTCAACAAGAACGGAAAAGCAGACTAATAAAATGATTATTCATCTTTTCTAATTTTATGCTACTTTCTCATCACTGTATTTTCATTTATTCATTGTTAATATTGGATTGTACTGGACCATGTATTTGTGGTTTACCTTCTACAAATCAGGTAAACAATGTAAATTAATCTGTTATTTGTGATAAATTCTGGTTTGTTAATAGGTTCGGAATAATCACACCATATATGAATTCATGAAAATTACTAGATTTCAGTTTGTTACATTCGTCATTCATCTCCAAACAGAAATTCATCTTCAGAAACAAATAGTAGCTAATGTACTGTTTTATGAATTCATTCGAGTTACGGTTACAGTAACCTTGTAGTGAAACACGTTTTTAGTGAAAATGGGAAAATTCTATAATTATTATCATGAACAAATATGTGTCATTATTTCAAATATTTTGTAAAAAGTCATTAAAGGATGAATTAAATTGTACTTTGAATTGAACTGTCCCTTATATCCCACCAAATGTGAGTTCATAATGGATTGAATCCACAGAATAGATTATTGAATTGAACTTAACACCATTCCAGCAATTTGACTTCCAAAGAGCTTTTGAGTGTTGACGACTTTCATCTTGCTAGTATCTATGATCGTTTTCTGGTGGGTACTACTCATAGTAGATGCACTATCAATCGGAATGTGAAATATTGCATTTTTATATAATGGAAATCATCCAACAAATAACATTGTCATATTACCATTTATAATTTATTTCTGAGCGAGCGTAATGCAAACTTAAATTTTGTTTCGTTCAATGAAAAGAAGTCCAGATCGACTTTATTACCACCAATAGCAACTCTAGATAGGGGAGAATATTTACCGTAGTTACAACGATGAAAATCTATTGCAAATGTTACTGTATTCCTTGTACTTTTAGAAGGAACATGTAAGCCAATTTGTGCTAGCAATGCAGGGCAGTTAACAAGCGAATTTAATAATTGGAATACGAGTTTTAAGTCAGTTTCCACTCTATGACCACTTAGCTTCATTATATCTGCAACCCTACGAATATCATCTAATGAATGGTCCTTCAAGGGCATTTTCAACTTGAACGCCAAAAATTTTAAGAAATTTGTTTTGTACCTGTTCAATGTTAAGTGCAGGACTTTCATAGGTGGGTGACCAAATGGAACTGCAATAATCTAAGACTGATCTTACCAGGGTGAAATACAGCATTTTTACACATTCAATATTAGAGAAATTATAGTGTTTTGTTGTTACAACTGTTGTAATTTTCTAGGCTCAACATTTACATTTAATGTAACAGTGTAATCAACCTTTCTATTCGACAGACATATATACAAAATTCAATGAACTTACAGACTTTGATAACAAGTTATTGTATGAAAAATTTAAATATTTTTGTTGCAATCAACATACAGAAATACTGAAAATTCAAAGTAATTCATCTTATTAGAACTCGGTTATGATTCTAGTTTGTCCACTGTCAAGCCCTACAGTTAATATCATAGCCTCATGTTTTAGAACAAGATGAATGATAAAAGTATAGATTTGTTATGTGGCAGCATTCAATAACAGCTGGACTTTCAACATTATATAGAATGTTACTAACCACATATAAAATCAAACCAATCACATAATGAATAACTGGTTTTAGCAAAACTCACCGCTCCTCCTAATAAAAACCAACAGTTTATGTTTTCATAATAAAAAAAGTAGGGATAGAACAAAAGAAAGTTTTTAATTATTGACGTTGATAAGCATTTTGATTAGAAACTTCATTGCTCTCCAATTACAACAAAGTTGTTTGCTTTGTTTTATAATCTGAAATTGAATTTGAAGCAAAAACTAAATTTATACCATGCTAATTCGGCGTTTGTTGGTAGAGGAATTCTTCCATTCTGGAAATTGCAAAAACAGTTCCGAGACGTACTATCAGTCTCTCAATAATAACATTTTGTTGCCAGTATCTTCATTAATATGTAAAATTTCAACTATGGTACCGATTTAAACAGATTTATAGGTTAACGAATTGTGCTGAAATGTTGATGAATTACCTTAACATAAAACAAACTAAAAACTTGTTTTTAAATATTTGCTAACTGAAAATTCATTTCTCATACACCAGACTGTTTAGGTCAGAGGTTTTTAATGCTCTGCCACGTAACCTTAGAATCTGTTAAAAATATGTTTTCAAAATGAAGTTGAAGAATTATTCACCCATAGTTTTTAGGGCAAATAAACGCATTTTACATAATTTTTCCAGTTTCTATACTTACGATTAAAATCCTAGTTGATATTTTAACTGACTTAGTGGTTCGAGTACTCAGAATGATGGAATCATAGTGAGTAAATAAATCAACTAGGTGTAATGCAATAAATTTTTATTGTATTTATAAAATTTACATCAATGCATGAAATTCGACCAACTTCTTTCACCACACCACCTGTAAATAATAATTGACATTGAAATTTTAAAAAATTAAAAATTAGTGAAACGCATAATTCACCTCAATAAAACATTATCGCAATCTCCTGGCTTCGCGCTCAGATTCAAGCAAGGTGAGGATATCACCTTCTCTCACTGGCCCTTTTACATTCCTGATTATTTGACGATTCTGCTCTCCGATAAACTCTACTTTGACTTGGGTACACTGGCCCTGGGACCCAGTTCTCCCCAGAACTTTCATTACTCTTGCAAGTACAACGGGTTTATCCATATTTTTATTATTTTTGGTAGGACTTTTCTACAACGTGTGTAAACTCGAAACCTTGATCACAGGAAAAGAAAGGTTATCTTTAAGTTGAACGTGAGGTTATTTGTCTCTGCCTCTTCTTTAGTTTGTATTTGGATATCTGACTTCTGAAAATTGTGCCAATTTTCATTGGTAGGTTCAACAAGGCCAAATCTAAAGTTGACGTTAAGTAATCCAATTTGTCGTCCCGATAGATTTTTGTATCACTGCATCCCTATATCACCCGGCAGTTTATTTGTTGGCACGATTAGACTAGAATAGCTTAAATTATTGTTTCGTTGAACTTCCACTTTCACAGAGGTACCTTATTACATTCACATATTTTTTGAATCACAAGTTGGTTTTACGTGAAAATATTCTATTTTAGTAAGAAAATACGATACCTTTTCTCGAATGAAAAACCGTTTTGTGTCTAGATAGCTGATCACAGGAAATTACAACTTTGTATGATTTCATTTGGGTTACAAGTATTTTTTCTGAGTTGGCTACTCTGAGAATTTGTCATTAATGTCAGTTATCATCTCAATCAGTGTTACCGGTTACAGCTCTGAGAATAGGTTCTTACCAGAGAACAAGTGACATTTAATTTTTGTGCCTATGAGCAATGGTACTATCACTCCCCGACTACTCTTGGTTTTCTGAGTTAGATCTGGAGTCTTCTTCTCAGGAATTTCATATTTGTGTTAACAACCACAAAACACGTTATGGCACGTGGTGGCTTACCTGAAATAATTCAACCAAAACAAGTTTAGGATTCCTCTAGTAAGGTTATTCAAAGAGTACCATTATGCAATTGCAAGAGGTATACATAAATGAAGCCTAATGCAATTTGATCCTGTATACAATGTCCTATCTTCTTAAAGAGAATCTAAAATATTTATTTTTCACTACTGTGAAGTATATACTCCAGAGGAAATGTAATTGAGTGAAGAATTTGTAAAATAAATAACAGATTAAAAATATAAAGGTAATCAACTCTGGATACAGAAAGTTGCGTGGCCAATATAAACACAGATTTGCACAAAACATTCCTCTACTCGAAGAATCATGGACTGAAAATCAATCCTAATAAAACTTTGGCCTCATGTATAGGGTCTCAAAGACAAATAGTAAAAACTCAGTGATTCTTTAGGCTCACTCTCGATAACGCAGACACTGACTGTGTAAACAGTGCTAAAAGTCTTGGCGTAACCATAGAAAGCTCTTTGTCTTTCCATGAACATATGACAAACATTTTCAAAGTATCATTCTTCAAATTCAAATCGCTATACAAATTCAAGTATCAGTTATCAGAAGAAATGAAACTCAGATTAGTTGAAACTCTTATTTACCCCCATATCGAGTATTGTTGTTCGGTGTATTACAATTATTTGTCGCAATATAACAACCAGAAGTTACAACGTATACAAAATGCTTGCATGCGATTCGTATGCTGTATACCATATGGTGAACATGTCACACCATTTTTGTTAAAAATGAAGGAGCTGAATGTGAGGTACAGAGNGTTTCTGAGCGCAACGGATAATGGCAATAGTGAGATGCAGAATAGAAGGGGACTGAGGGAATCACCCTGAAATACACCCCTTCTGAAAGTGACCCACCCTGTTTGGACTCTTGCTTGACCAGATGTTATGGTGAAGCGAGTTCGCCAAAGTGGTATCAGTTGTTCAATGCATCTCACTATGTTGTCGGGTACCGCAAGGCATCTGAGCAAATGCAAGATGAGCTCATGCGAAATTGTATCAAATGCCTTACGGTATTATTATTCTTATTTTATTCTTCAAAATATGTCTGTTGGAGGTGAATATTTTGAATTAATAGATGGAAATGGAACTGTCACATCACATACAGATTTTACAAAATACAATTGATTTGAACATTGCAACAACCCGTATTTTTTGAATTTCTAGAATTGCTGCAATACTTACCTTGATGGATGAAATCCGTCCCTTCTCACTGAGATTACAAGGAATTGTCACATTAAGGAAACTTCACTTGTGATTTGAATGACTTGGGGCAGTGACAAAATATGAATGTTATATTGCGGTTTACTTTATTTGAAAAAATCTCACTAAATACATGCTTCCAAAACATCTCTATGAATCGCTTTTTGTCAATTTGGGCAGAGCTACATTTATGGCAAATTCGATTCCACATTCATTTTTTCCTCTGATTATCTTGAATGAACCCTTGTCACCCCAGTTTTCATTCCAGGAGTTTGCAACCAACCAGTACGGTGTCCCCTTTTCAACTCCCCATCCTAAGATTCTCACAGCGTGCCCAGCTAAAGCTTTTCCAACCACATGTTGGTAAACACCTGGAAATCAATAACTTTTGATATTTGTTGAAATGGTTGATGAATATTATTGGAGTTTAATCCCAACACCTGATCCTTATTTTTAACACTTCGACACGTGTTTCGATCACCAAGTGATCATCTTCGAAAGGAACATTTAATCATCCTCTTGGTGTTGGGATTAAACTCCAGTAATATTCATTACTACACCAAAGGTCCCAAACAGTGCATCACAAATACATGTTTGAATTGTTGACTAATTTTTTCGATTAATGTTGAAGCTTTTGATTTCCTTCATCTGAAAATAGTTAACAGATATGAAATTCATGAGGAAAAAATGAAAATACTAGGACACACATTTCCAAACGGGTAAGTTTGAAAGGAAATGGATAATTGATACCCAACCAGTGCCTAACAGTGTCTTACAGGTGCCCCATTTTTCTGGAATTGAAGCAGATTTTCGTCTAGAGCCAGACTTCCTTGGTCGTCCTTTTGGTTTTGTAATTCATGCATAATTGAAAGTTCGATAGTGTTTTCCAGCATATCCAAATACATTTTGCTACTTGAGTCTCTGGTCAATTGAAGCATCGCTTAATGTTACTCGATGCAGTGTTTGTTTACATTGCCATTTAGCATAAAAGCACATTACTCACTGAAACAATTTCTTTTACTAGTCTAGTTTCATCGCGACATCTTTCAGTCAGTAGGATCTACTGGGAATTGTTCATATGGATTAAGCCAGCGCAGAGTCTGTAGCAAATTCTGTCAACAGGACTTGGTTTGCTATAGGTTCCCAAGTTAAGGGTATCGAATAAAACAAAACTGCTACAAATACACTTATCTTGATTTAATATGGGCAAATTCAGAGATGACACTTTCATATATTGGACTTCTTTGGGCAAATCATATTCTATATTTATCAAAGTGATATGATTAAGACGTTCTTGGCCCATCGTGTTTGAACTTAACGTTCGCCACTGCAGTTAGTGATCATGAGAGACAAGTAAATATGCAAGACAATTTCTACCTTAGGGAAACATGATTCTAAGGAATTATTTGATAAAACTTTATAAAATTGCAGTTTCTTGCTGTCAATAAGAGTAGCCACATCTGTTTTTAGCAGTTCATCGAACTGCACTAATTTATTGCCTAGGTTATTATTCTCCAAATCGTTTTGTGAGCATTGACCTTACTTGAGGCGTTTGCCAAAATCTCTTCTGTTGTAAGATATTTTAGCTGTCGAAATTTTTGAACAGTCATAGCACTTTGAAAGTTTTTAAATTGTCACACTCTGTTTTGTGTATACATGGAGCTGAATTACTTTTTATCGGGCAAACAACAAAATTATCTTTGTGATTACGTCTATGTATCAATTGCAAGTCATAACAACTTCATAACATATACAGTGTGTCCAAGATAAGGATCCTAAGCATGGGAATCTCAGTACCTGTTGGAGATACAGCTTAGGTTAAATTAGGAAAAAGTTGTGTTCTTTAAAGCTTATTTACATGCCGTTTAGAAACTTGAAGAATTTTCATGGCCTGCTGAGATATTTGGGAAAAACGAGAATTTGACAATATCAATTTTATTTTTTTCTGACTTTATTTGAAAAGATATCAAAAAACGAATAACACTTTTTCATTGGCACTTTT